TTGTACATAAGTCAGTCAAGGGACTTGAGTGACAAGGGTTTTTCAAACAGCCACTACCCCATTCCTTGCCCCCAACCTAGCAATTCAAAGAGCCAGTTTGGTGTAGTGGTTAAGTGCACGGACTCTAATCTGGGAGAACCGGGTTTGATTCCCCCACTCCTCCACTTGCACCTGGCTGGATGATCTTGGGCAAGCCATAGTTCTGGCACAGCTGTTCTTGAAAAAGAGCAGTTTCTGTCAGAGCTCTCTCAGCCCCGCCTACCTCCCAGGGTGTCTGTTGTGGGGAGGGGGAGGGAAAGGAGATTGTAAACCACTCTGAGACTCCTTTGGGTAGGGCGGGGTATAAATCCAATCTCCTCTTCTTCTTCTCTTCTACTTTTGAAATGGGGGGGGGTGGAATTTCAAAAGTAGAATTTAACATGAACACTACTCAAAGACCAAGTCAAAAATCCTACTGGGCATACCCAAACTATGTCTCAGCTAGCTCTTTGGAGCTTGCCTAACAAAACCTTGAGGACATAAACGACTGATTAAGAAAGCAGTCCTAATCAGGATCCTACTAAGGTCTGTTTGATGGGCTTACCCCCATGAAAATGTTCTTAGGGTTGCCATATATGAATCAGGATGTTTGCGGAGACCTAATACACGGCCACATTCTTTTTATTACACAGGTCAGGCGCGTCGTAATATGCATTTTTGTTGGTTGTTTTGAGGTCTAGAGGCTACTGCCGTATGGATTGCTTTCTAATTATCGATTAGTAGGGCAATCCTGTGCACACCTGACAGTCATCCCACACAGCATACAGTGGGATTTACTTCAGAGTAAACGTGCACTGGATAGTACTGAAAGGTTGCAATATTAGGAACACAGTCCTGGGACTTATTTTTAACTTGACCTGCTTCCAGTTGTTCCTTAAATGTACTACAGAATTAGCAGTCCATTTGTTGAGCCAGCATTGGTTTATACTGAGTTGTTCCATTCAGTATTGAGAAACACGTGCACACACCTGCACGGCAGTCACTAGACCAGTCTTTGCTTGTTTAGAACTCTGTGCGTGCACTGGAACCTTATAAATGAACTGGAGTTCCTGAATGTGCACCGAAGCTGCTGCATCAGGTGATAATTCACTCTTTCATGGAAGCAACATTTCTGTTCTGTCGAATGCTCCCAGCATACGGTCCTGTTTTGACTGGCCTAGAGAAAGAAGCAGGTTCTAGGACTATTGGTGTCATTCTCTTTTGTTTTCTTCTTGGCTCTTACAGTACAGCACGCAATGTATGTCTGGCTGCATGTGCCCTGCCGGGCTAGTGTCAGATGGCAAAGGTAACTGCATTGCGATGGAAGGGTGTCCATGTATTCACAACGATGCCACCTATAATCCAGGAGAGAAGATCAGCGTTGACTGTAACACATGGTAAGTACTTGATAAAGAGTACGACTACCTCTTGTTTCCATCACCTTACCCATTCCAAAGATGGCCAGCTGTCAGACCCCACAGCTGGCAATCAAGTACACACTTGTAGAAAGGTTTTACTTTATTGAAGCCATGACGTACTGGAACATAGCCACTGTTCAGAATAAAGAAATGGACTGTGCAAGGTATAATAAAGCAAGTTCATAATTCTAGTAGCCAATAGATAAGATTCCCGCGTGAGCGGCTGGAGTGTCCTGCTCGCGCCCAAAACCCTGAGAACCAACGTTCCCTTAAAGATAAACAATTCTATTATTCCCACACTACTGCTCATAAAGGCTAAGCAAAGCGGCTTGCTCTTCCCCACCTGTGGCCTTGGCCTGATAGCATTACTTCAAAGCAAGACTAGCGTACATAGAAAGGAATGCATATCTACTGGAAGATGAGCGCATGAGAGTCTGGTTAGACATGCACATGTGAGGGAGGCAAGAGGGGGGTTCTAAGATAACCACTACATATAATTATAACCCTTATTAACCTTTGGCAGCTTGCTGACACCAGCATGATGAAGAAAGATTATCTAGTTGAACAATGGATTGGCATGTAGGCTGAGACTGCTTGACATATTACATTGTACGTGTACAGTTAAAAAAACAATTTCAGTAGACACCTACACATATAATGTGGATATGACAAATGTGTATATATCATACAGGTATCCTCACCAGGCAGCCATGATTGGCAGCAGTTCATAGAATCATAGAATGTTAGAATTGGAAGGGACCTTGCAGGTCATCTAGTCCAAACCCCTGCGCTCTGCAGGAGCATAGCTGAAGGATAGCCCTGCCATACCTACAACATACCCGAAAGACGGTCGTCCAGCCTCCGCTTGAAAACTCTCTGTTGATAGTACATATTGTCATTAATTCCAGTTTCTGCCATACAATATGTAAAATGGCCTTATTGTATGCCAGAAAAGTATTTTCAGAGATATTTGGTATTTAGGTCTTCTACAGTGTATAGGCCCTGAATCTGTAATATGCTTTAGTGGCCAAAAATGTATATTAAAGAAACCATATGATACTTGCGTCTCTCTGGTTTTGTGACTTTTCATAAACTTCTCGTTTTTGAAATAATGTGGTTTCCCCGGCTGTTTACTTGGGTGCGCTCAGACTTCCCAAACAAAACAAAGGTTTGTTTGTGATGGGCACAAACCTGGCTTGTTGCCACACTCAGGCTCCCATCACACCACTGAGGAACTGCGGGCGGGAAGCGAGGCTGTTTGCCCCGGGGCGAACTGACGTGCGTTTGCGCGATCAGACGTCCGCCTGCCTGCCCCGCAGTTCCGCATAATACTTACCTTTCCCTGGTGGTTTTTTGTGCCGCTTCTGCGGCGCAACGAGACACCCCGCCAACGACTACGGGACGCCAGACAGATGTGTCTGCCTGATCGCGTCCCTTTAATCCGCGGGGGAATCGTTTGCCTGCCGCAGCTTCCGCTCCATATGATCGCAGCCTCACATACTCTTCTCCCCCACCCCAGCACAATTGAAGACTTTCAATTTCAAAAACCTTGACTTTTATTTACCATGACATCCAAACGTAAGAAGCTGTGCACATTAATGCTTGTTTTCTCTGCACAAACCACTCTTCCCCCTTTCTCCCACAAGCAAGAGGATCACTTCACTATGCCGTTTTCTTTTTTCCTATTTTTTAGCATATGTCAGAACAGGATGTGGAAATGCACCAAGAACAAGTGCCTAGGGACCTGTGCTGTTTACGGAGACGGGCATTACATCACCTTTGATGACAAGCGATACAATTTCAATGGAAAGTGCGAATATACTCTGGTTCAGGTATCAAGGAACTGTCTTGGCATTATTAATGTCGAAATCACCTGTTGTCTTCAATACAGAGAAATAATTTTTTTCCCATTTCTTTACCCCTCTGCTTAGGATCACTGTGGACAGAACAGCTCCACCCAGGGGAAATTCCGAGTTATCACCGAAAACATTCCTTGTGGCTCAACGGGAACCACTTGCTCAAAATCCATTAAAGTCTTCTTAGAAGTGAGTCTCATTGCTTGTGCTTTTGTGACACAGTAACAATAGTAACTAGCAGTTGGAAAGCAAGAAATTGCAAGTAGATAAATAGGTACCACTTCAGTGGGAAGGTAACAGCGTTCCGTGTGCCTTGGTGTTTAGTCATGCCGGCCACATGACCACGGAAACGTCTTCGGACAGCGCTGGCTCTTCGGCTTTGAAACAGAGATGAGCACCGCAACCCTAGAGTCAGATTCGACTGGCTTTCGAGCAAGGGGAACCTTTACCTTTATTTTTTAACAATAGTAACAGCTGCAAGGGAAAGCTTGCAGTTGTAGATAGGTGTTTTCTGGCACTTGTAGACATTATTGTAGACATCTGTGCTTTAAATGATTTATTCTGTTTTATCAATTGTAAAATGTATACTGTTTATCAGCTTTGGTGTAGCAGCTTTGGAGCCAGTTTGGTGTAGCGGTTAAGTGCGCGGACTCTAATCTGGGAGAACCGGGTTTGATTCCCCACTCCTCCACTTGCACCTGGCTGGATGACCTTGGGCAAGCCATAGTTCTGATAAGAGCTGTTCTTGAAAAAGAGCCATTTCTGTCAAGAGCTCTCTCAGCCCTGCCTGCCTCCCAGGGTGTCTGTTGTGGGGAGGGGAAGGGAAAGGAGTTTGTAAGCCGCTC